TGTGTGTGTGTGTCTGTGTGTGTGTGTGTGTGTGTGTGTGTGTGTGTGTGTGTGTGTGTGTGTGTGTGTGTGTGTGTCTGTGTCTGTGTGTCTGTGTCTGTGTGTGTGTGTATGTCTGTGTGTCTGTGTGTGTCTGTGTGTGTGTCTGTGTGTGTATGTGTGTGTGTGTGTGTGTCTGTGTGTCTGTGTGTGTGTGTGTGTGAGAGAGACAGAGAGAGACAGTGGCAGAGAAACAAAGCTGACCTTTGGCTGTAGCCATTGATTCACTGCTTGTGTTACAGTTGCCTTTTCTTACTGTCCTTCCTCATTGTAATTATTTAAAAAGTAATAAAGTTTCTGCCTAGAAGTTGTCACTTCTTGGCACATCTTTCAGCAGATGGGCTGCTGCAGGGTGGTCAGGGTGTTTCTTGTAAGTAGCAGAGTAGAGACTCAGCTCAGAAACAATCTTTAAAAGAGAATAGAAAAGCTGGTTGCCTTCGAGACTGACCTGCACAGTTAACTTCTTAGGCTCCAGGTCCCCGAGGAGGACTGTAGCTCAGAGCTGTCTCACCTGCTGCCCCATCGGTGACCTGCGCACTCGGCAAGCATTGCATTTTTTGCTTTTGTATTTTAGCAATCATCTTAAAAAGACTAAGCTCCTTTCACCCGCCTGGATGGCCAGCAGGCTGGGTGGTTCTGGTTTGGGGTTGCAACCGATAAGAGGAGAGGTCGTTGTGGCTGAGGGAGGCTGGTGGTGATAAGGGCTCTGCGCCAAAGGTCCCGTGGTGACTCTCAGAGATAGCACCAGCGCCGCCTGCACAGGGCGATTGGCACCCATGTCCCAATTTGGGGAAGTGCCAGGCCCCTGCTCCTGTTAGTGCTAGAGGAGCACCCTTGCAAAGTAGCATGCTGTGCATTTGAAATTCATGGATTATAAAGCTTTGTGTTTAATTTGCACATTTGTTTTCGTTTAAAGTTGCGTAAGAAAGAAAACCATAAGGAGTTTATTCACAGTTTTAGCTGTACATATTTATAATTACACACTAGGGGCTGAGGAATATTTTCCTTCAGGAGGGTAGGGGAGTCCATACCCTATTCGAGTTTGAGATGGGCTCCTACGGAAATTAACAGCATAGCTCCAAGGTAAAGTGGGTCGATTCGAGGCCTTACTTCGTCCTTGCTCCCAGTGGCGCCCTGGGTGAGCACCTCACCTTGCCAGCCTCCGCTGCGCCGGTAAATGGGGAGATGGTATGGAAGCTGCTCCCCAGGTCCTGTGTGAGTTGAAAGTGAGCGTACCCTGAGAAGAGCTTTTCCCCTTTAGTGCTTCCTGGGTCTCCAGGCATCTGCATCTCCAACCAGCTCCGAAGCCATACTGCTGGTCCAAAGCCAGGCTTTGAGTTGTCAGGGTCTAAGGCTCTTAGCAGATAGTGCTGGCTACTGTTTCTGGTCCGAGGGACCCGTATCTGTCATCCTCACCTGTGCCACTGCCCTGTGCCGCATCTCATAGCCAAGGGCCACCTTTTTTTCTTTTATGTGTGCTCTTTTTCCTGTGAAGTACTTTTGTCTGTATCACGGGCATTTCTGTAGTTGGCGTTGGGGCTTCGCGCTCTGCCATTCTGTACCTGGCGATGCTGGTGCGCAGCCCTGTCTGCATGGGGAAGGGCCCAGAGTGATGCCCCACCGCCCGCGTCCTCATTCAGACACAGCTGTCTTCCCACACTTGACTGTGAACTTGTTTGACCAGACGGCTCGCTGAGGGGATGGCAGGGTGCATGGCGTCGAGGCTCCACGCTGTGAGTGGTTGCTGCTTGTCTCACCACACGTCTGTTCTGGGAAGGCTTTCTGCCCATGGTCTAGTCACTGCAGAACCAGTGCCTGTGGACTCTGAAGGGACCCAGATGACGGGTCGCCCAGCCCCTACAGCTTTCTCAGTTGTTTCCACTGGGGAAAGAACTCCCAGGACCTGCAGCAAGCCATCCACATCCCATTCCTCTGCCTGGTAGCAGCCTCAGCCTGTGCCCTCCCTGTCCCTGCCCCCTCCCCCTTCCCCTCCCCTTCCCCTTCCTGGGGCCGACCCGACCCCTTTCTGGCGTTGACCCTACAGGGTCTGGTGTCCCATGCTGCATACTGGGTGGGCACAGAGTGAGTACCAGACGTGTGGAAGGGAGAAGTCCCAGTCTGAGGTCCAAGCTGTCACTGCTGGCAGCATGAGGGGCTTGCGTGCCCCGCATGTCTGCGCCCCATGTGTGTGCTTAAGTAAAGGCTGACCAAGTGCTCTAACCCAGGAGTGCTCCGGATGCCCACCTGCCACCTTGGGCCTCCCAGCAGCTGCTTCAGAGGATGGCATGAGTAACCTGTGCTCTGGATCCCTCACAGGTAGAGCTGGAGGTCACGTTGCCAGGAGAAGGGAAGGACCGCATCTTCAAGGTGTCCATCAAATGGGTGTCCTGTGTGAGCTTGCAGGCATTACACGATGCACTTTCAGGGCGGCTGCCCAGTGTCCCCTTTGAGACGATCCAGGCCCTCGACGTGGTCATGAGGCACCTGCCGTCCATGAGGTGAGGTCCGTCCACGGTGAGGGCCAGGGGCCGGGAGCATCTGCCCCGACCCTGGGCATTCCCTGGGGAGTTTGAACCCTGTCTGAGGAAGAGCTGGTTCCTGGAGTTGGGATTTGTATAATGAAAATAACAGCACTGCTGATATGGGGAAAAGTTTTAATGTAAAAAAAATTCCCTGGAATTCTCAGCCGAGCACAGAAAGATCACCTCCCTGAGCTCTTGTGCTCGTGAGGCTCCCCGGCTCCCCCGGTGCTGTGAGTGCTGTTTCTCTGTTGCCTTCACGCTTGGGACTGTCCTAGAGGAATAGTGTCGAGGTTCTGCCCGGGGCAGGGCGCCCCTCGGGAGGAGCCTTTCTGGACTGCAGGGAGCACCATGTTGTTCTGTTCTGTGGGATTGCTTTCTCACTACCAGGTGCCGTGCTTGAACTTGCTGGGACAGAGGGTCGGTGACACTTTAAGGGGTGGTGGCCCTCCAGCGGCTCATAATTTGCCAGATGGCTGGACAAGGGCTGTGCCAGCTCCCAGGATGGGAAGCCTGTTCTTTCCACATGCATGGTATACAGGAGAGCCTCGGGAGCTTTATGAACAAGGGAAAGAACAGCCTAACACTGAAACAAAGGTCCACGCCGACCGCTCCCAGTGCCGACCAAAACGCTAAGGTTTAGCCCAGCCGGGCGTGGCTCAGCGGTTGAGCGTCGACCTAGGATCCAGGTGATCTGGGTTCGATTCGCGGTCAAGGCACATGCCCGGGTTGTGGGCTGCAGCTGATCAATGACTCTCATCATTGATGTTTCTGTCTCTCTCTCTCTCCCTCTCCTTTCCTCTCTCTGAAATCAATAAAGATATACTTGAAAAAAACAAAAACAAAAAATAAACCACTAAGGTTTAGGGGAGAGCGAGGGATCCTTTGTCCCTTTGTAAGTGAGAGAAGGCAACTGAGGCGCTGTGTGAGATTTTAGGGGGACGCTGGTGGTCTCATTCGTAGACGGGTGGGGGTGGCAGCAGGACAGGCTACCACTGGCAGGGACCCCCCCAGCGTGCACTCTGTCCTTTTGGGGTCCTTACTGATGCCACATCCGGCGACCAGGGCCTGCTGGTGCCACTACATTGGCCGATGCGCCTGCCTCGCTCCGGGGGCCCCTCGAGGGCATGTGACCCTCGTCCCCCGCGGGGTCCTGCTCCTCCCTCCCATAGTCAGAGCCGCTCTGTAGAGGGAGCTGGTGAAACAGGAGTGGACGTCCGGTGCTGCATCTGGATGTGGTCCTCGGCCCCAGGCAGCCAGACCCTTCAAGGCCAGGCTGTGGCTGGCGCGTGGCAAACGCTGCTTCCGTCTGCACGGGCGCCCCCAACACGTTCCAGAAGGACGTGAGTGCTGTGAGCAGGAGGAGCAGGGCAGGATACCCCTGAGCGTGGTGGCGAGAAGACAGCGTCAGGACCCTGAGACGAAGCGGGACACCACGTGCGCTCCAGGCCCCACGCACGGCCGGAGCACGTCCCGGGGTCTGTCTCCATGTCACACGTCCCCGAGGGGAACCCTGGTGGGCAGGGGAGCCTGGCTCACAGAGAATGGCCTCCATGTGCCCACCCTGCGTGATGCGTTGAAACATCTCGCTGTTCCTGCAGCAAGGCCCAGGTCCCCAGGCTGCGCCTTACATTGCACCTGGCAACGGCATTTCATAAGGACAAGAGAGGCAGAAGTGTCGCTGTGCCTGCCTGCCTGGCACAGGTGGGCAGCACCTGGGCCACAGCCGGGGTCTCTCGTTCCAGGTACACGCCCGTGGGCCGCTCCTTCTTCACTGCGTCCGAGGGCTGCTCCAACCCCCTGGGTGGGGGCCGGGAAGTGTGGTTTGGCTTCCATCAGTCTGTCCGCCCTTCTCTTTGGAAAATGATGCTAAATATTGATGGTAAGCAGAGCCCGGTTTTCATTGTGGGGTTGGGGTGGGGGGCTTGCAGGGGGCCAAGACCTCAGGGTGGGCCCGTGTGGCCAGCTGCAAACACAGCTTCTGTCAGAGCTTGAGATGCTGTGTTACGCCTGGTCTGTCTCGCCTGCTGGTCAGGGCAGGGCAGGGTCCTTAGATGGAGCAGCAGGCCACCTGCAGGGCTCACCACAGCGGGGTTGGAGGGGGCTGGGGGCTGCGTCTCTAACAGGGTTCCAGACGCTACAGCCGGTGTCCACTGGGCAGAACCGGGTTTTCTTGGGAGTTCTGAGTGGAAGCCCCACTTCCAGTCCCCTGATCTCCCATGTGATTCTTAGGCTCGTGTCCCAGGGGGTGGTCACCTCAGAGAGAACGACACCAGAAGGGGGTCAAGAAATCCAGCCTTTATGGTTGCGATATTGGGGTTTGTTTTAAACCTAGTTTCCATCTCAGAGGGTAACTTGAGACCCTAGCACCCCTTCAGTGCTGCCCCTGACCGGAGGGAGGATCGGGCAGCCGGTGACCAGGCTTGAACCACCCCGTCTCTGTCCCGCCTCCAGAGCTGGAAGGTGGACTTGGCTGACAGTGAGGACAGAGTGCAGGTGCCCTCACCCGGCCCGTGGCAGGCCAGCCCGTGTCACACTCCTGCCTTGTCTCTTCCCACCTCCAGTCTCAGCAACTGCGTTTTATAAGGCACAGCCAGTAATCGAGTTTGTTTGTGAAGTTTTGGATTTTAAAAGTATTGAAGAACAACAAAAACCTCTGACAGATTCCCAAAGGGTCAAGTTTACCAAAGAAATCAAAGGTAGGTGCCTGCCCATGCCCGCGGCCTGCCTCCCTGCCCAGCGCGAGCTCGCTCACTCCTGTGGGCGTCGGGCGGACTGGTGTGGAGGGGATTGAACCCACTTCACAGGCCGGGAATAGTAATGCCCTGTCCTAATGAATGAGTGACCCTCGGTGGGGAAAGGAGCGGTCGTGGCCCACTGACGTCCGCCTCCAGCGTCAGGACCGGAGAGCAGCGCGTGGCCGTGGGTCTCGGCTGCGGTCAGTGCTGCTGGGCGGGCGCCCTGGTTCCTGCGCCTCACCCTCGAAGCTCCGGCATCGTCAGCACCCCCTGTGCTGGCGGCCAGGGCTCAGTGCCCTGGCTCAGGCCTCTGCACCTGTGCTGTTCTGAGGGTGCTCTAAAGGCCACAGGCAGCACTGTTGCTAAAAATAACTGAAGGAGCCACAGGAAGCCGTGGTGGCCGACTCTGGCCTCCAGGCTGAGTCCCCACGTCCCCGTCTCTTCAAGAACAACCTTGGCCCTTGCTAGGGGAGAAGGCACCCTGTGGGTGAGCCTGGTCCAGCCCTGCGTCACCCTTCCCTGCTGCTCCAGAATGCCTGATGTGGGCCTGGCAGCGGTTCCCGTAGAAACCAGTGGTCAGGACGTGGGGCTTGCGCTCCGGCCGGGCCAGTCCTGACCCTGAGGCGCTGCTCTGTGTCGCTAGGTCTGAAGGTGGAGATCACACACTGTGGGCAGATGAAGAGGAAGTACCGTGTCTGCAACGTGACCCGGCGGCCTGCCAGCCACCAAACGTAACTGCCTCCTCCCAGCTCGTGTCCCCCTGACCCTCCGTCAGTCAGAGGCCCCAGCTTGGGAACAGTGACTCTTCTGGAAAAAAATTACATCAATCTAGTTTTAAAATTTCAAAGCTACACCTTTAGCTCAGTGGATTCCAGATCACCTAGTGAAATGAAACCTGGGGTCCCACCTGGGTGGAAGGGGGCTCCTAGCCAGCTTTCCTCCTACAGTGTTAGAAGGACCTGTTTGTTCTGAGTCCTCAGTGCTGAGCAGGGCTTGGAGCGAGGGGGGGTCAGCAGGCATGTCCCCACCCCCATTCAAGGGCATGGCCCCCACCTGTCTTACGCTGTGTCTCTGCCCTGACTTCACTTACCAGTCAGCGTCCAAAGCCATGTAGTAAGTAGCCTGGCCTCAGGATGGGGCCCTGTCCTAGCCTGTACTCGTTCGTTCGGGGAGAACAGGTAACTGTGGCCCCGAGCTCCACCTTAGGGTCCCCTGGCCCAGTGAGCACATGCTTGTTCATCTCATGGTCATCCCATGGAATGTGCCTGGTCTGTCACGGGCACTGGGGACACTCGTCCTGACACGGGGGCCCCCTCACCCCTGTTCTCCCGTCCCTGCACACCGGCCTCTCCTGCCTCTGCCCACTCACACAGGTGGCCATGGGTGCCCCGGCAGACCTGGGAGGCTTCAGATCCCCCGGGCTGGCACTTGGAGCACATGGGTCGTGAACGACTTCAGGGTCAGTCCTGTTCCGAGGTCAGCTGGAAACCCACAGGTCTTTCTTTCTGGACTGGTCATTTGCCCTGAATTTCCCATGTCCACTGCCTGTTGTAGGCCTGCAGGCATTTTTTTATTCCCCAGCTGCAGAGAGAAAATGAAAGGTTGGGGACTCTGGAATATTCCCAGTGACCCAGAAGGTGTGTGTGTGTGTTTTTGGCCCCGGGAGGGGCTTTGACCTTTTGCCCCATGCATCGCCTCCCGAGAGGGCAGACCCGCTCCAGCAGCCCTGGGCGGTGGTTGTGCGGGGCGCCGGGCCTGTCCCCACGGGCGCGGGCGCCTCTCTGCTCGCCTAGGTTCCCGCTGCAGCAGGAGAGCGGGCAGACGGTGGAGTGCACGGTGGCCCAGTACTTCAAGGACAGGCACAAGCTGGCTCTGCGTTACCCCCACCTCCCGTGCTTGCAGGTCGGCCAGGAGCAGAAACACACCTACCTTCCCCTGGAGGCAAGTCCCCCGCGTCCCGCAGGCTGGGGGGCACTTCCTGCCCACGTTCGTTGCTCCCGCTGCTGCGGGGCCTCCGCAGGTCAATGACGTGGTCGCGCCTCAGTTTCCCTGTGAATCAGAGGGGTGGGTGCTTCTCCTGAAAGTGACGGCAGGCGCTTTGTGCCCAGCAGGTCCCCGGCACAGAGCAGAAAGTGCTCAGAAAATAAACTTTTTCACTTCTTGTTTGAAAGCCCCTTGCCTGGGAAGAGCCCTACGCTGGAGCAGGCATGAGTTCTCTTTCCTTTCAGTGTTTCAAGCTCGCAGAGCTTGTCCACCACCCGAGCAGCGAGAGCTGCGGTGGTTTTCCCGCGCGTGGTGCAGGGGTGGACTGCCTTCCGTTGACAGGCAGCTCTGCGTTTCCCCCCTGTGAGGACAGAGGCCACATACCTGGCGCCGGACACAGCTGTCCCCACGGGTGGCCTCGGCTGTGCTTTCCCACCAGTGTGGTTCCCGGCGCAGGTCTGAGTCACGCGGGCTCACCTGGGGTGCCGCGGTCAGCCGCCCGCCCACTGGGCAGCGTGACAGGTGTGCTGTTCCCCGCGGGCCTCAGACCTGGCATTTGCTCGGGAAGCCGACGTGGCCCCGGCAGAGCCAGTGCTGCCCCCGGCCCTGGGGCTCACGCCGAGTTTGTGCGCCTTCTGCCTAGGTCTGTAACATCGTAGCAGGGCAGAGATGCATAAAAAAGCTGACCGACAATCAGACCTCAACCATGATCAGAGCGACTGCCAGATCGGCACCTGATCGGCAAGAGGAGATTAGCAAACTGGTGAGTGTCGCCTCCTTGGGGTCAGACCCGGGGTGGGGATACCCTTGGGAAGCCAGTCAGTACAGGGTGCCCAGGGTAGGGACCCCAGGGCTTTGCACAGACCTCTGACTCTGCCTGTTCTTTCTCCCTTTCAAGATGAGGAGTGCAAGTTTTAACACGGATCCGTATGTCCGGGAATTTGGAATCATGGTCAAAGACGAGATGACAGACGTGACGGGGCGGGTCCTGCAGCCTCCCTCCATCCTCTACGGGGGCCGGGTATGTGGGCTGGGCCGGGGAGTGCTCTGCGGGTGCCCGGAGCCGGGGACGGCACACGGGACCGGGAGCAGCCGTGTGTGGCCCTGTCTCGGGTGGAGCCCTCCCCAGAGGTGCACCCCGCCGTCCTGCTGGGGAGCTGTTTCCTCTCGCGTCCTGCTGGGGAGCTGTTTCCTGACAGCTTGGGGGCTTCATAGAGTAGAGGCCCGAGTGTCCTTGGCCCTTTGTGAGTTTTTCAGAATTAATATCTTTCAAAAGGTTTCTGTTACTAACCCATGAAGAGTTTGCAGGCACCATCCCTGTGTGGCGGGTACTCTGCCGACGACGAGCTCCTTTCCAGAGGCCCCGCTGCTTCCTGCCGTCTCGCCTTGTTTGGTGGATTTGGCAAGCGGCACAGCAGTTAGTAACCTGGGTGTCTCTCCGGTTTTGCTCGCTGACCACTGAGCCCTGCAGGGAGCAGGAGCGGGGTCTCCCCTCTCCTCTTGGCTGTTCCCTCGAGAGGCAGAGCACAGCATCTGAGGGGACCGGGCCTGGGGCCTCGGCTTCGGAGGTGCCGGGCCGGCTCGCCGCAAGCGGGAGGAAGCAGCCTCCACTGGCTGCTCACCTGGTGGAGTGTTGCTCAGGACTGTTAGTCCTCAGGACCACCAGCAAGGTGTAGTTTTGTCTGTAGGGCTTTTTCCTTTCACATTTTAAAACAGAAGGTGTTTTTTCCATTTGTTTTATATTTTAAAGCTCAGAAAGTACAAAAGAATTGTAGGAAAAAGTATTTTCTCCTCAGCTCTCAGTTGCTCCCAGGAAGCTGTTGGTGTTCTCTCTCTGCTCTGTGAACTCACCCAGGGATGAGTCTTGTATTTTTTCACCCTTCTTATGCAGACAGCATGTTGAATATACTTCTGCACCGTACTTTTCTTTACTTAGTACCTTTTCTTAGAGCCCATAGAAATCTTGGAGGCGGTTTCATGTGTGTGTGACGTGATGCCTTTTGCATAGGGTCCCCATCCTTGTCAGTGGTGGGGGGTGGCTCCCACCCAGCCGCCCACCCTCTCCATCTCTCCCTCCGTCCTGCATCCATCAGTTCACCCACCCTGCAGCCGTCTGGACGCCCATCTGCAGTGCTGGGCAGTCAGAGATGGGCGGCACAAAGATTTAGTGCTGAGCCTCGGGAGCCACCATCTGGTTGGGGGACCAACGGCTACATAAACAGTGACAAACCCAAGGTCAGAGGACCGTGTTCCTCGTGTTTTCTCACTCTGAACGTCTTGCCATTTGCAGAATAAAGCAATTGCCACTCCTGTCCAGGGCGTCTGGGACATGAGGAACAAGCAGTTTCACACGGGCATTGAGATCAAGGTGTGGGCCATCGCCTGCTTCGCCCCCCAGCGCCAGTGCACAGAGGTCCACCTCAAGTAAGGCCGCCGGCGGGACAGGCCCCTGGCTGGGATGGGAGGGATGGGGGCCAGCTGGGGGCCGGTCCTTGCGCTCGGTTTTGACGCCAAGGGGGCTGGCAGCCTTTCTGGTCGCTGAGCAGCAGCCGGACAGGACGGGCCGGGCAGTGGGGGCTTCTCCGCGCTGCTGCTGGGAGCCATTGTCCGAGCCAGTGGGCGCAGCACTGATTAGATGAGACGGGTTGATAAGTGTAAAAACTAGAGGTGAAAGAAAATTAGGTTCAGTGAACTAAGCTTGTTTTTAAAAACACTTCACATATTTCTGTAAGCAAGTGAGAGGAGAAAACGAAGCCAGAGCGAGGAAGAGATGGCCGGCGGGGTCTCGCTTCCGGGAAAGGGGAGGCATCAGGAGGGGTCCAGAGGGGCGAAGGCTTTGGTGGACTGTCTGGGTAGTGCGTCCTCCGAGCTGGAAGCCCCGGCGAGGGATCGGCCCGCCAGGAAGCCCCGAACGCCCTGCCCAGGCGGCACACCCTTTGGAAGCAGCGCCGTAAACCACAGCGTTGACGCGATGGCTTGTGCTTCCTGCCTCCCTTGGGTGAAAACAGGAGAGAAAAGACAAAGCCTGAGAAGTGTAGCCAATAAACATTCCGGCAGAGGGTGGTTCTGAAAGGCTGTGGCTCCCAGAAGGCTCTCGAGCTGACGTCGAGGGCTGGAGGCTGTCCGTGGGAGGCTGCCGTCGGTCCCCCACCCCAGGGCCCGCTGGCGGCACAGGGCTCAGGAGACCGAGCCGAGGCTCAGCATCTGGGCCCAGCCTCTGCCCGTGTTCTGTCCTTGGCCCTTCATTCTGCTGTTGCCTGGAGCTAGGTGGTCTCAAGGTAAATTCGTGTGGAGACAGCTGCAGATGCAGAACGTCTATTTCTTTCACGGCACTAACGTGTGGGAGGCTGAGCACTTACCGGCTAAGCTGGATCGGGGTGTCCTTACCCTCACTGGGGAAGGCGACATTATTTTTACTCCTAAGCTTAAAATAGGGTCCGTTGATGTGTCCCCAACCCCCTTCCCCGCCCGCCCATGACTTCACGGGGCCTGTTGGCAGCAGCTGCTGGTGTTACTCTAGCTTCAGCTGTTCTGTTTTTCCATGATTATGTCATCCACGTCCCCCAGCCGTACACGGGAGTAACGGGGTCTCTGGAACAGCGCTTGGCATTCGCAGCCCGAGTGGGCTGGGTGTGTCCGGATGGAAGGGGCGGGCGGGCCTGTGAGTGGGCAGCATCTCGTCACTGCGCACAGAGCGTCACAGCTGGTGAGGCAGCCTGGGCACCGTTTGGAGTCTCCTGTTTTATTGTGGGAAAATAGCCACAAGTGAGTTTTCATTCACCTGTTGAGCACATGTGCCCTTTTTTCATGAGTTAGCACGTGGACACAGCTTTGTCCAGGACGTCAGCTCAGACCCCAGCCTCATTAAACATGGGCTGGGTTTGGGTCTGTTGCAGCTGTGCCCCTCAGCCCTGGCTGGTTTGGTGCAGTCGTTAGAGCGTCGGCCAGCAGGCTGACACGTCCCAGGTCCAGTTCTGGCCAAGGGCACGTACCTCGGTTGTAGGCTCCATCCCCAGCCCCCGGTCGGGGCTTGTGCGAGAGGCAACCAATTGATGTGTCTCTCACATAGATGTTTCTCTCTCTCTGAAAAGCAATGAAAAAAATATAACCTCAGGTGAGGGTTAAAGAAAAGTAATAATGATACAACTGTGCCCTTTCCTTGGGGCCTCGGGCTGGCCGGGATTTTCGGGCACTTGGAGTGAGTGCCCCAGCCTGACAAGCCTTCTCCCTCAGGTCCTTCACGGAGCAGCTCAGGAAGATCTCAAGGGACGCGGGGATGCCAATCCAGGGCCAGCCCTGCTTCTGCAAGTACGCGCAGGGCGCTGACAGCGTGGAGCCCATGTTCCGGCACCTGAAGAACACCTACACGGGCCTCCAGCTGGTCGTGGTCATCCTGCCGGGCAAGACCCCTGTTTACGGTAGGCCAGCAGCCACGCAGCTGCCTGGGGAGCTGTTGGGCCTCCGGGGACGCCCCTGGCAGCCGGGGCCCTTTGTGTTTCTGTCCCACTGAGGAGGGACTCCCTCTGACTCACACGTGCTCTAAGCCAACAGGTGGCTTCTGCTCGTGCCCAAGCCAGTGCTCAGGGCGCCCTCCAGTCCTGTCTGAGGCCACAGTTTCTGGACGCCAGCTCCTGTCTTGTCCACCTCCCGACCCGGGCGTTGGCTGGATGGGGACAGTCATTTAAGGCACACGCTGGGCCCACTGGGAGCCGTCATCAGCTCCTGCTGTGGCCTGGGCCTCCATTTGTAACCGCTGTGCCTGCCTCAGAATTCTCTGGAGGTTCATTGAAGCCCTTTGTGCCGGAAAGGCAATGGCACATCCATTCAGCTCAAGCTTACCAAGCTCGGGGGATGGTGTCCCCGGCCCTCCGTTGGGCTGCTCTCGGGCGGGCAGAGGTGTGGAGACAGTGACCACAGTGCAGGGCCCGCCAGCCCCTGCGGCCTGTGGGAAGCGTGGACTCACTGTCAGGGAGGCTTTAGGACCGAGGCCCTGTGGCGGGTGGGGCAGAACGTGTGGCTGCTGCTGCCGGCGGGCCCCCTGTGGAGGCAGCACAGAATACGTGCCCAGAGAAGCCCTGCTTCCCCTCCCGGTTACGGATCCAAATAAAGAAGGAAAGAGGACACCGCCTGTGTCCCATCCTGTCACTCTTCCCGCAGGAGCTGGGTCACCTGGGACTGCCCGGGGAGCAGCAGCCCAGCTGCTTTGAGAAAGCCCAGGGGGAGAGGGTATGGGCCTGGCTCGCTCTTTGATGTCAGGGTGGGATTGGCCAAGGGTGCGCCGGCTTCCAGGGTGCTTATTTTTAACTCCTCGAACACTTGCTCATAGTCCCAGACACTGTGGAGGAAGGTGGTGTTCCTCCCAGGAATGCCAGACCCAGGGTTCCAGCTGGGCTCAGCCTGTGCCGTCCTGGGACCCTGGGTCAGCCCCTGGAATGGCCGTCCCTCCTGCACGTGGAACGAGCTGCACTAGCCCGGCCTCCCTGGCGGAGGGGGTGAGGCTTGCGCAGGCAGGCAGTGTCAGAGCCCGAACTTGAACCCAGAGGCTCTGGCTTCCCTGCACCTGCCAGGCCCCCATCTCCCAGGCTTGGCTACAGGTGGGGTGGGCAGAAATGCCAGCGCTGCGGCGGGGGGCAGGGCAGTAGCTGAGGGAGGGTGCGAGCTGGAGAGCTGTCGCGTGAGCGCCCTCTGCTCTGCAGCCGAGGTGAAGCGTGTGGGCGACACGGTGCTGGGGATGGCCACGCAGTGCGTGCAGATGAAGAACGTGCAGCGGACCACACCGCAGACGCTGTCCAACCTCTGCCTGAAGATCAACGTCAAGCTGGGAGGCGTGAACAACATCCTGCTGCCCCAGGGAAGGTGAGGCGGGCCCTCTGCCTGATTGCCTGAGTTGCACTGCCGCCTGGAGAGGCCGCTGAGTCTGTAGGAGGCAGTGCGGTCAAGTGGAAAGAGTCTGGCAGGCTTGGCCGTGGGTGCTGGCTCTGTGAGAAGGGGTCCTTCAGCTCAGTTCAGGGGACAAAAAGAAGACCCATCCAGCGCAGGTGGCAGGCTGAACCTGCCCTTCCCTCGGGCGACAGGTGCTGTGTCTATTGAGTGCCTGCTGTGTGCCAGAGTTTGGGCCACGGCAGTGACCAGAGTTGTAGCCCCTAGTGGAGAGACCCAGATGAGCGGAGCCATCGACACAGCAGGTGACTGTACAGGTGATCAGCGGTGACAGGCTCCTGAGGGTAAGGGCCAGGTCCTGAGCTAGGAGGCTGGGAGGTGTTGTATCGCAGGGCTGAGGGGCGGAGGGTGCCCTTGGGCAGGATGCGGCCCTTGGAGGTTCCTGAGTAAAGATTGATCCGTCTGACTTTGTTCCCAAAGGACGGTCATCTCCAAAAACAGCAGGGACCAGAGGTTCCCGGGTTTTCCCAGGAGAGTGCTGGTGGCAGGGGGCCCCAGAGACGGATTGTGTTTGGACTGTGAGAGAAAGAGGAGAGTCAGGGATGAGTCCAAGGCCGCGTCGCGGGCCCCTGGAGAGAGAAGGCAGCATTTGTGGGTGAGGAAGCTTGTTGGTCTCGGTCTCCGAGAGGAGACGGCGGGTGGACAACGGGAAACAGGTCTGGTGTCGGGAATGCAGGTTTAGGGGTCCTGGCATAGGGGTGGTATTTAAAGCCACTAGGCTGGTTGAGAACCCTCAGAAGGGTATAGACAGGGAAGATGTGGGAGTCTGGGGTTAAAGGCATAGAGGTCAGGAGTTGGAGAGGTCATTGGAGCCTGAGAAGGGAGGAGAGAGGCAAGAGGCTGGCGGGGTGGGTCCTGGACCCCAAGGGCTGTTGTCCTGAGGCTGGACCAGCGGCCGGGAGACATGCAGGTCATTGGTGATCTTGCAAAGAGGAGTCTGGTTGCCATGGCAGCCGGCAGCCTGGTGGGAGGGGCCTAAGCATGGTGAGGCAGTACATGGTTCAGCTAATTCCAGGAGCTTTACCGGTGCTCACCAGGCGAGGAGGGAAATGAGGGAGTCCAAGGGCAGGTGTGGTTTTGCCTGAGGATGTGAGTCACGACTGCCGTGGATGCTGTTGGGAGTGATCCAGAATTGGGAGGAGGGAGCAGCGGGTGAGAGCCTCAGGGTGTGGGGCGCAGTGCAGGGTGGGTGGGCCGAGCTCAGCATGGTTGTTGGGAGGTGGGGGTGCCAGGCCCTGCACTGCTTGTCTCACTGCCACTCACATCATCATCATTGGTGTAGAGCGAGGACAGGGTGGTGCTCAAGGTTTAAAGAGAGTAGCTAGTCGGGTGCCATCCAGGGGTTCCTGAAGCTCACGAGAGCGTGGTGTGGGCGGTGTCCCCTCCCAGCCCATCCTCTGTACAGATGGTAAGGACAGTAACCGAGAGTGTCCGGTGGCTGCAAGTCCCATGCTTGGGAAGGGAGTAGCAAGCAGCCTTACTATGTCCGCCTGGAGGCGCAGAGTTGCCAGAGTGGTTAGAACCACGCTGGGGATTGAAGGGAAGAACGCGCCCACCTTCATGGACACTGACATGGCGTGCGCGCTCGAGACGTACTGTTTCCACCTCAGCCCGGGTGGGGGGGGCCTAAAAGAGTGTAGTGGGGGGTTGGCGGCTGCATGTGAATGTGCCAGTGGGAGTCCCCCTGAGGTGACTTTCCCATTGACCCACCCCCTGCCTGGATCTGGAAACACACCGTGCCTCTTGTTGGTGCCAGGAAGTCAGTAATGGCCGTGACACCAACTCCCAGCGAGTGTACTGGACCGGCCTGAGAGCGGGTGACATGCATGAGCTCCATCCGCCCTCAGGACACCCCCAGCCGTGAGTTCTGATGTCTCCACTTTCAGAAGAGAGAGGTGAGGCACAGAGAGGGAGCTTCAGAGGGTGCAGCAGGCGTGCCGGGGACCTGTCGCTGCTGGAGAACTGAGTCGCTGTGCTCACTGCCTCTGCGGGACCATAGCTGCTGCGAGCAGTCAGCATTTGAAAGACCAGGGAAACTCAGAGCAGCGCTTCTCAGTGGGGCAGTTTGGCCCCTGGGCACAGGTGGCAATGTTCGGAGTCATTTTTGGTGTCAGGACCTGTGGTGCTACTGCGTCTGGTGGGGAGAGGGTTGGGGTGCTGCTGCCCAGGATGGCTCCTGCCCCAAGCATCAGTGAGAACCCTGGAGGGGTGTGGCTTCGAGTTCAAGTAACAAACCTTGGGGATTTTTTTGTTTTTATAATAATTATTTTAGGAACGTTCAAGCGTGTGCCAAGGTGGAGCCCTCACCTCCCTAGCTCAGCCTCAGCAGCCAGCAGCACCTGACCTGGTTCCATCCACGTTTCCTGCACCCTGTCCCCACTGGGTTATTCTGAAGCAGGTCTCAGACCGTGGTGTTCACCTGTAAGGTTTTCTGTGTATCATTAGAAGAGAAGAACTCTATTTAAGAACAGAACCCAGGACCCTGACCACACAGGAACGATGCGCCGACACCCGGAGGTTCAGGCATTGCCTGAGCTTAGCCTCCAATGCTCTGCTTCCCTCCACAGGCCACCAGTGTTCCAGCAGCCCGTCATCTTTCTGGGGGCCGATGTCACTCACCCACCCGCGGGGGACGGGAAGAAGCCTTCCATTGCTGCCGTGAGTGTCCGAGCTGCCTGTGGGAGGGGACGTGGTCCCACTGCAGCCCTGTAGCTAGAGTTTCTTCCTGAAAAGTGGGAGGTTTACCAAGTTGCAGTCAGAGTCTCATGGAAAATAGGTATTTGGGAGACGCTACAGGTAGATAAATACACCTGAGAAGCAGTAAGAGTGGTGTCCAAAAAACCCCAAACCAGACCATGTCTGTCCCCGCAAAAGGCTCCTGCGAGGAGCTGTGGTCCTGCCAGGCCTCAGCTGCAGCTCAGGTCAGACCTGAGGGCTCTGCAGCCCCCTGGCAGATGCTGCACCTCCTTTTAAACAGCTTCTGTTTTGTGTTACAAAAAGCTAAATATGAATAAAATAATTAGTCTAGAGTTAAAGTTCTTCTTTCTTGTTCCACCCTTTTCGGTCCCCTAGAGGTAGCTTAGTAACTGCATCTTTGTAGTGTGTGTATTGGCTTGAACCAAGTCCTTCCCCCCCTCCTGACTGTGAGTGCTGCCAGGGAGGCCGTGTGGCAGCCTCGTTTCACAGGCCACGGTCGCAGTGCTGAGCATCCGGCCGCTTGCCCTCCCCTCGGGGGCTGAGCTCAGCCTTTCCTCCACATCCGGGGCTCACTGTCCTTGGGAGGGCAGGGCCCGGGCAGCTGCGACCTTTTGTTCGTGGGGATCAGGACGATCCTCAGGATGATGCGACCTAAACGTGGAAGAGTCTGGGCCGTCTTGTATTTGTCATTTGTCTGAAACCACTTGTTGGGGTTTTTCTGCCCAGGGCAGCTCGTGCGTCCAGCCCCTCACTCCCTCCAAACTAATGAAACAACGTTGGCCTTCTCTGAGCGCCTGCAGCGTGCCAGGCGCTGGGCTGATGCGTAACTGCATCATCTCAGCCCTACGGGGTCGATGTTAGTGTCCCCTCCTTCAGAGGAAGCTCAGGAAGGCTGAGCGTGTTGCTCGAGAGAAACAGCAGCAAACACAGCTCCTGCCTGAGTTCAGGGTTTTCGGGCTCTGGACACATATGCCTCATGCCCAACAGGTCGTGGGCAGCATGGACGCCCACCCCAACCGCTACTGCGCCACGGTGCGGGTTCAGCAGCACCGCCAGGAGATCATCCAGGACCTGGCCGCCATGGTGCGCGAGCTGCTCATCCAGTTCTACAAGTCCACGCGCTTCAAGCCCACTCGGATCATCTTCTACCGCGATGGCGTGTCCGAGGGCCAGTTCCAGCAGGTGGGACACCTCGGCTTCTCTCTCTTCTCAGACCGTTACCTCCTCCGGTTCTCTACAGAAGAGGATGGTCCCGTTTACATTGTGCCCCAGTGCTCGTATGGTCCCGGGGTGGACGGTGGACCAGGGGAGGCTGGGCGCAGGGCCAGGGATGCTGAGGCAGGATGGAGGCAGGAGGAGCAGTGGCTGGGCCTGGGGCCTGGAGAGCTGCGGGCGGCGGCTTTGCGGGGTGGGCACACGGCCGTGTGACTGCGGGGAGAGCAGCAAGCGCAGTGCAGTGAGAAACACGGCGGGGCCAGGAGGGCGGCTGGGAGCCCTTCCGAAAGCAGCCGGCAGGACCCTCGGCCACTGCTTGGATTTAGGGGGAGGGTAGCATCGGGGGGTGGCTACAAGGCCAGCAGCCTGGAAGGCAGAGCGCCTCAGACACAGGGCGCACCACAGAGGCGGGTGAGCGGAGTGGGCAGCCGTGGCACCTCCAGGCCCGGGTGCCCTGTGGGCAGCACGAGTCCATTCTGACCCGACCCCAGGAGGCCCACACCGGCCAGGTAACTGCCTCTGCTCCCGCCACGTCCCCAACGTCGCCAGGAGGTGTTAGCAGGAAGGCAGAAGCAGGGTGTGGGGCGTGGACCTGAGGCTGCGGGCGATGCGCCCAGGTGGGAGGCCCCCCCGAGGGCTGCCCTGGTGGAGCTCAGAGGCCCCCCGGCCTCGAACAGGCTGGCGGCACGCGGCGAGGCTCCGTGTGACTGCCCACCTGGTCCAGAGCAGAAGCAGCGGCTCATCCTGAGGCCATCCTAGACGCTCCCTGGCTGGCTGGCAGCTCCCGTGCTCCCCCCGGTGGGGTCCAGAGGCCAGCGTGTGCCGGCAGACCCCAGACCCACCTCCTGTACAAAACCTTCTGGGGTCCCTCCAGTTGAAAATGTTCTCTTCTGAGCTCCCAGCCCTTTCTCCCTTCACAGTCATTGCTTCTGGGGGGTTAGTGTCCGTCTGGTTTTATCCCTCATGACTGCTCAGCGTCCTGCAGGAGCTCACAGCTTGGGTCTGAACCCAGACCAACAACTCATTTTGAGACGTAACAGTGTTTAATCAGGATAGCCCCTGAGACCTCGGGCGTGTGCTCCCTGTCACCGTCTTCGTCACGCACTGTGGGATGTCTCCCGCCTTCTCAGGCGATGGCCGGTGGGTACGAGACAGTGTCTTACTGTCCTTGTACCCTAACTCCTGGGCGCTTGTGTGCCCCATGCTTTGCACAACACTTTAGTCTTCACAGCAAGCTTGCAAGGTAGGATGTTCCCATGTTAAAAGAGAAAAACAGGATCAGAGAGGGTACATGGCTTTCCCAAAGCCACGCAACAGAGTGAGGCCCTGAACTTGCATCCGACGCCTAAGCCAGTATCCTTCCTGCTAGGCCTTCTCCTCGGAGACAGGAAGCACGTTGTTGAACCGGTGTGCCTCCCGCGGGGCCCATTTGTGAGCGCTGACGCTCCACACCGTGTGGAGTGTTTTTATGCATTATCTCATTTAAACCAAGAAATCGGGGTATCATTCCCTCCGTTATATAAATGAAGAAATAGGCTCAGAGAGGCAACAGCACACAACTAATAACAAGCCAGTGGAACAAGAAAACTTGGGTACAAATATTTGTCAAGTGCTACATGTTCTTAAGGGATTTATTCCAAGGCGGCAGCAGAGCCTGAGCACAGCGCGGTCCTAAGGGCCCTGTTTCCCGCAGGTCCTCCACCACGAGCTGCTGGCCATCCGCGAGGCCTGCATCAAGCTGGAGAAGGACTACCAGCCGGGCATCACCTTCATCGTGGTGCAGAAGAGGCACCACACGCGGCTCTTCTGCACGGACAAGAACGAGCGGGTGCGTTCCCCGCCGGGCAGGGGCCCGCCTGACTTCACCGAGGAGCGCCCGCGGCGGCAGCTCTGCCCAGGTTCTGGGGAGACCCTGTCCTCAGAGGGGTTGTGGAGCCCCGGCCTTGTTAGAGAAGGCCGTCCTCAGTTTGAGAAGTTGGACCTGTAAATCCACAGTCTGGGACAGGACCGGGCAGGAGATGTCATTTATCTGATAAATTGCCAGGGCGGTGGGTGTGAGAAAGAACCAGTTCGCAACCCCAGTGACGGCCAGTCGTAAAGAGGGCGGTAGAGCCGAGTGAACTTGGGGTCTCGGGGAGGGTGCGGGCCGGGCTGAAGGCGCTCCCGGGAGCTCGGTCAGAGGTCTGCAGAGCAGGTGGCAGACGGGCGTCCGGGCTCCTCTGAATGGACCCGGGGGCTCCAGGATGAGAAGATGAGTGTGAGGGGAAGCAGGGTGTAACTGCTGGGTGCTCTCCCAGTTGAAGAAAGGTGGGAGCCCTCAGGTTAAAGTGTGTTCTGTGGTCCCAACAGGGTTAATACTTTAAATCCACACCATCTAAAACTGCAGGTGGGTTAATGTCCACACAGGGCCGAGGGCAGGCACATCCCGACAGCCTGCTGCCACCACAGTGGTGACAACACAGGACATGCTCGTTGTCTGAATGGAAGACACGGTACAGACCGTTCCTATCACAGGGATGGTCTGCTGAGAAGATAGAACAGCTGTGAGCTTGGATGTCCCTAACACCATGATCTAAAAATATGTCAAGGAAAGAAAAAGTAAAGCAAAAACACAATTTCAAGGAGAAAATGACAGATCCACTATCCAAGAGTTCCATTTTAACACTCACCATTACATGGAAAAAGGCACATTGGCAAGCACTGGCTATTGGAGGAGTGGCCCAAACAAGCCAGATCTAAGATAACTTGAGCCCAGCCAGTGTTGCTCAGTGGTTGGGCGTCAACCTATGAACCAGGAGGTCACAGTTCAATTCCCGGTCAGGGCACATGCTGGGGTTGTGGGCTCGATCCCCCGTGGGGGGCGTGCAGGAGGCAGTCGATCAGTGACACACTCTCATTGATGTTTCTCTCTTCCTCTTCCTTCCTCTCTCTGAAATCAATAAAATTGAAAAAAGAAGAAAAAAGGTTTGAAATTTTAAATTCACTTCTAAGTAGCACATGCATTAAACATGTAAAGAAAATAAAAATTACAAACTAATCAGAACTGAAAAAAACGAGAATTTCGTATCAGACCTTAGGTCCTGTGGCTGAAGCAGTGCTTGGAGATAAGCATAGGCTTTGGTGCATCGGCTGAGCCTGAAGGGCCCCGGAGAGCTGAGGAGCTGCTGTGCTTGGGCTCCCGCCCGCCTGCCCTCCTAAGCCCGCAAACCTTTGCCAGGAGTCTTGAGGGCTCAAAGTCAGCTTGTTTCTACAGCCACTTCCCTCCCAGGATAGAAAATAATGCAGTGGGGGATGAAAAAGCAGTAGAGCAAATTCACAGAGGCTTCTTTGAAGATAGATACGCCTAGCAAGACTCAACTAGGAGGAAATTTGTAACAATACCAGGAGCAGAAAAGGAACTATATCTGCAGGAGTATTGTATTATCTAAAGCATCATAGGATATTACCAACTTTATGCCAATACATTGGAAAAAATAGAAGAAATGGATATAGTTGCTTGTAGAATTATATAAATTACCACAAGCAGGTCGCAGGGACAACTCACTCGTCATGCTGAAAGGCATCGGGCCCAGAGAGTTTTACGGGCAAGCTTTGCCAAACTCAAGAACAGATCATCGTGAAGTGTGCAGAGAGTAAGAAAGGGGGGAAGCTGCTTAGCTTACGTTATGAAGTTAGTATAGAGCGTTTTAGAGGCAGGTTTTACCCAGCCTTCGAAGAATAATCTTATACAAAGTATTTCAGACACCGGGAAAAGGGAGGAAACGGGTTGTGAGGTTAGCCTGGCATGGTGCAAGTGTGGGTGCTGTGCTGAGGTCAGCAGTGCCGTCTGGCTCCAGCCGGGCCCCGTGGTGTGCGGGCTGCCAGTGTCCCTGCCACTCTCGCCCACTTTCCTGAGGACGCCGGAAGGTTAAAAGGAGGCTAACCCACGAAGCACACAGCATGGCCCTGCCCACAGAGGGAATGGATTATGGTGAAGACGACTCATGAGTTTGATGGGAGTACAAAATGGTAACCAGTTTTGTTACTCTAGAGATCTGCCCTGGAGAAACCCCACGTCTGGTGTATCTGATAGCACAAACGTCACCTGTCTGCCAAGGAGAAAAAGTTGTGACATGTTCATATATTAGTATTCTGTATAGCAGTGAAAATAAATTGTGTATCCAGTGAATACATGTCAGAAGTGTAATACTGAGCAAAACCAGCAAGTAGTATATATGATACATGGATACAATTTTATTTATTTATTTATTTACTATATATCTTTATTGATTTCAGAGAGAGGAAAGGAGAGAGAGAGAAACATCAGTGATGAGAGTCATTGATCAGCTGCCTCCTGCACGCCCCCGACTGGGGATCGAGCCCACAGCCCGGGCGTGTGCCCTGACCAGGAATCGAACCCTGATCGCCTGGATCCTAGGTCGACGCTCAGCTGCTGAGCCACCTCCTGGCTGGGCCATGGATACAGTTTTAAAACCTTCAGAGTGACACTGTAATGCTAATGGAGGCTTAAACATGTAGAAGAATAAAAGTGTGTGTGGGAGTGAAGTCTTAAGTCCCAGACAGCAGTGCGGAAGGGAGATGGGCAATATTTTCAAATTTTACTTCTTTTAAAAATCTGAAGGTGTGAAAAAGGTTGGCAAGAAGTAAAAAATACATCTGAAGGTACAGAGGGGCTCATGGGGTTCTTACTTTCGTGGGTATATTTGAAATAAAGAATCAGTGGCTTGGGTTGGGATACTGGTCCAGAGTAGGGGAGATGCCGCCACAGGAGCAATAGCTGGGTTTTCAGGGACTTTGGGCCTGCAGTGTGAACTTAAGAGTTTAGTAATTGGGTTGTTACTATTTGTTAAGTTTTATTTTAATGCTCTATAGCTGAGCAAATGTATCGGCCAATTTAAAGACCTCATAAACGGCTGGCTGGCTTTCTCTGCCGTCTCCGCGGCCTGTCTAATGGCTCCTTTGTTGCGCAAGGTTGGGAAGAGCGGGAACATTCCAGCAGGCACAACCGTGGACACGAAGATCACCCACCCGACCGAGTTTGACTTCTACCTGTGCAGTCATGCTGGCATCCAGGTAAGGCAGAGGGGCCCCTTTGGGCAGTCTCTGGGCCTCTGTGACATCAGGTACACATTCAGCAAACACAGGGCATGGCTGTTGTGCCTGGCACTCGGTGGGCACAGGGACTCGATGGTGAGCACTTAGGAGGGCTTTAGCCATGGTCAGGGGCTTAAACAGTGAACAGAAGCCCAGGACTGCCAGGAGTTGGGGACAAAGGACCCCCTGGGAAGCAGGGGGGTGTAGATGAAATGAGGTCCAGGCAGGAGGAGCTGTCAGTGCAAGGCCCAGGCTCACTGGTGGGGATGGGGGTGTCCCTGTGTGCCTGGTGCCGAATGAGCTGGCTGAGATCCTAGAGGTGACAAGACCACCTCGGGAAAGTTGGCCTCACACCAGGTGACGAGGAGGTCTCAGAGATGGGGGGAGGGCAGTGAGTGACAGAGGGCCAACTCAGCGTGCGCCCACACGCCGTGGCGGGGTTCGGGCCTTGTGCTGGGCATCCGGGGCGGTTCTCTGGCTCATCAGCACCCCCAGCCGGCCGAGGGTGGTTCTGAGGGCGCAGCCGCCAGGACGCATCCCTGCGAGCCGCGCTCCTCGGGACAGAGCAGCTTTGTCCTGTCCTCAGAGAGCCTCGTCACGCGGGGCTCCGGTTTCTCAGGGTGCACATAAGGACTCGAGCACCCCACCCCAGGGAACGTGAACCCAAGGCCTGAGAATCCTCCGTGAACTTGGCGCGTTTACTCCTGTCGCGTACATCCTGCAGTGTGGTCTGTGGGACACGTCCAGCCCGAGCCAGAGAACAGTTTTAGATTTTTAAAGGGTTGTTAGAAGGAAAGAAGAAGAATGTGCCTGAGAGAGCACAGAGGCGCCCGCCCGCGGCCTGGGTGGGCTGGGCCCCCTCTTTACAGGGCCAGGCCCTGCTCCCTGGGGCTTGTCCTCTCCCTGGCTTCCCTCCTGGGGAGGGGCTCTGTCCCCTGCCGGGCGCGGGCCTCGGGGACCTGCTGTGCCGTCAGCGCTCGCGTGGCGGGCCGTGGTGGGCGGGCTCGGGCCCTGGCAGTGCAGCCGCTGACGGTGAGGAGAATGAAAACACTTGGGAAAACTGTGTGGAAACCTAACCTGTACAAGCGACGCTGTCCCGGCACAGCCGTTTCTGGAGCGTTTTGTGTCTGTTCCTATGGTTTTTATACGTAAACAAGTGTGTGTGCGGCCTGCATCTACACACGGGTGATGAGATGCGTGGCCCGGCGCCTTTTACAGTGATGCGTGACGGTGTCCGTGGCTGTCACGAACGCCCGTGCCCGTGGTGAGGCTTGCCAGTGCACGCGGGGCAGCGCCTTCGGCGGGTGAGTGCTGCGCGCCTGACTGTCCGATCTGCTCGTAGGGAACAAGCAGGCCCTCCCACTACCACGTGCTTTGGGATGACAATCGTTTCTCTTCCGACGAGCTGCAGATCCTCACCTACCAGCTGTGTCACACCTACGTGCGCTGCACGCGCTCCGTTTCCATCCCCGCGCCGGCGTACTACGCCCACCTGGTGGCCTTCCGGGCCAGGTACCACCTGGTGGATAAAGAGCATGACAGGTGAGTGGCAGGCCTTTCCGGGTGCAGGGCACAGCGGGGTCGCTTCTGGAACAGGCTTTGGCATCCGCTTTTCCACAGTGGGGAGCAGGGGTCGCAGTGGCTGGAGCCAGCTGTGACAAGGACACCCGGATGCCAGTGTCCTCGCGGGTGTCGGGCCGTGTCCTGGCCTGGCTGTCGGGTGCCGCTCGTGCTGTGCTCAGGGCTCCGCTCCCCGTGTCCCCTGTCCCCGCAGTGCCGAAGGAAGCCATACCTCTGGGCAGAGTAACGGGCGAGACCATCAGGCGCTGGCCAAGGCGGTCCAGGTCCACCAGGACACACTGCGCACCATGTACTTCGCTTGACGTGTTGTGTTTACGATTGTGTGCCGAGTTGGATTCACACGAGACCAGCGACACTCAGACCAACAGACGCCAGCCCTCCCGTGGCAGCCAGCATTGAACATGAGACGTCATGGATTTCAGCAGATGCTCCGTTTTCCAGAATGCCTTCTGTCCCAGATTTCAAAGTCGGATTTTGAACTGCAGACCTGTATGAGACCCCATTGTCGTAGGAAATATGGTTTGCCAAAATCTATGAGCTGCTTATTAAAACAGAGTCCCGCGTTTCCTAAAAAAATCTCCTAAAAGCAGTCTATGAACTCAGGGCTTTAAAACATTTTTAATTTATTTGGTCATTCGATTTACTTGTTTTTAACATGATTCTATATGAAATTGATGGGCTCAAACTAGCTGTGAACGTTCTCTGAGTGAAAGCAACACAAACACGATTGTGGTTTTAAAGCCTTGACCATTCTGATGTCACTAAAGCCTATTCCACAGTGACGCTCGTGTGCTCCTGACGTGGTTACACAGCTCTTCAGGACCCGCGGGCAGGTGGCCGTGCCGGGCACCCCCGGGTGTCCTGTCCTGCCACGGCCCTGCCTTTCACTCGGCTCAAGAAAGGGAGCGGTGGCAGCAGAGGCCACGTGCGTTTACAACATTTCTAGGTCCAGAGAGATTGGCAGACAAGTGCCATTTTAATAAAAATTTATTAAAAAAAAAAAAAAGAAAAAGACAATATGCCGACAGTCTAATCGTAAGATTTGTCCTATAGGACTGTGACATTTATTTTCCAAAGTTTCTAAAGAATACGGGTCTGTGGTGATAAATACAGTACAATCCTTTTTCACTGTTATGTCTTTAACGTAAGAGAAAATATATATATCTGGTTTGCAGTATTAATGTGATAGCTAGATGCTGTTTTTCATTTTATTGACTACGGGGTGCTTCTTGTGATCTGTTAGTGTTTTGGAGCCTGGAGACTGGACCGCCTCTGTGGTCTCGGTGCAAGTTCAGGAGTGCGGCTGACTTGCTGTGACGGCGACCGCCTCCCCTCGGTGAGACCGTCGCCTGCACCTTCAGCGGACGGTGCGCTCACGGCGGTCGCCTGCCGCCCTCCTGCCTCATCCCGTGTGTTGCTCAGCCGATTAAGCACAAATGGAATGTATGTACCCTTCCCTCCCTGGGGAGCACGTCCACGTGTCGGAGTGCACTCTCCCTGTGTGGTTCTGTGTGACGAGCTCCATGGGCTCTGTGCACTGAAACACACAGAAAGCTGTCAGTGGTGGCTCCGTGCTGAGCGAGAGGCCAGCCGTCAGCAACGGAGCCCTGCCCTCAGGATGGCTGACGGGAGCCAGCACAGGGCCAGCCCCTCCTGCTGGGATCTGCCTTCTGGGCCCACACGTGGGGCTGCCAACCCAGAAACCATTGCACTGAGTGATGCCATGGACAACTTGGGAAGGGTGACAGCAGACAGCTCTGTTTGTGCTCAGTGGGCTCTGTCCTGTAGGCAGTTTTATCAAGAGTAAAGTCCGCGTTCCTTGTAGAGACTCGAGGAAGGAGACGGGCCTTCCCCTGTGCTGCTTTGTGCTCTCTAGGTTTCCTGTCCCTGCTGACCACCCTCCCCACCCGGCCTGACACTTACCTCTGGTGCCGTAGTGAGCGAGCGTCCCGACGGCGAGGCCCGTGCTAGAGGGCGCTCCGCCTGCCTCCTCGTCTGTGCTCCGAGGGGCGAAGGGGGCAGGGAGCCGCACGGGGCTCCTGTGGACACTCAGCCTGGATTTTGGAGGCGGTGACAAAGGGATGGATATTATTTGTGAAGCTATCTACTCAGAGTGGTGTGTGCGTGTGTAAGTGTGTGTGTGCATGTGAGTGTCTTATCAGTGGCATTCGTCTCTTCTTGCTGTATCTTTCTTGTCTGTTTAAATGACAGAAGCCTTTGCTCTGAGAATTGTTGCAGTTCCCTGTCATTCCGTTGGCAAGTGGCACTTTCTCCCGAGTTCAGGACACCAGTCCACTCTTGGCTTACATCACTAGGAGCCTTCAAGCTGAGGAGGGGATCTTTGCTCATACACTCTTAAATTAGGTCGGTTTTCAGCCACTTTTAGGATCATCTAAACCTGTTTGCCTCAGAGGTGCTTTTCTAGTGCGTGCGACAGGATCGCGGGGGGCGGGCTGGTAGAAACGTGACTCCCAGGTCTCACTGGCAGCCGCCTGGTCCGAGCTGGAGCTTTCCGGAGAGGGTTCTCCCCGGAGTGCGGAGGGCTAGCAGCAAGCAGCGCCTGGCCATGAAGTTCTGAGCTAAAACCTAGGCCAGATCTCAGGCTGGCAGCAAACTACATCTAAATTCTTTAAAAATTATTTCGAAGGCAAAGTTTTCTTTTCAGTAGGCCAAAGTACTTTGGGAAGGGTACTTTTTGTAGCCCTGTGCTTGTTTTATGAAACTTTTCATACTAAAGGCATCAGTCGACCGAATGTCTCTGGCCAGGTTGGCTGCACACCTCTGTACGTGTCTGGTGGCTGTAGGTACACTCTCTCAGGTAAATAACCATTTCCCCAAATTTCTACCAGTCCCTCATTATTAGGATGAACTCTGAGTTCTGAGACAGCATAAGACCTCACAGTGCAGTAGAATCACGTGGAAGCCACAGGGGCTCCTGCTGTCCTCTGAGTGTCGTCCACCCAGGGCGGCCTCAGGCCAGGCTGAGGAGGGGCGCCCCCCACTGTTAGTGAGGTGGGCCTTGCTCGAAGCAAACCATGTGGGAATGAAATGATGTAGAAGTCGGGACTCGTGTAAAAACAGCTGGGATTCATCTCGTCTCTTTAAGAGCTCTCCCAATTAAATTCTTGTATTAGGGTTCTTCGTAGCCTGTTTTAAAACGTTCACTTCGAGAAACACCCGCGTATTCCTGTCCCTCCACCGCTATCCATTGCATTAGTCAGGCTCCTGCCCTAAAGAGCCCTGGGAAGCCGTCAAAGTCGCCGTTTTGCGGAAGAGCCCTTTGGTGACCCCAGGACCCCACCCTGCTATCCATGTACCACAAGCTCGAATTTCCCTAGTTAGACAAATTCGGTAAGACTGGGCACGCCCGTACTTTTAGAAAGGGGTGGCTTTGTTTTGGTCTGGGTCAGGTTTTCTGCCTTGAGAAGCCCTCACACACACTGTGGGCTGTGTACTACACCGTAGGGCCTGCCTTTTCTCGTCCAGATTGTGCCGCTTCTTGGCACTGTTCTCCCTCGAGTGACTGTGTGCACTCTAGACCCACAGATGACCCCTGGCTGGGGCACTGGCCCCGGGAGGGAGCTGTTGGGAACCAAGCAACCTCTGTGCTGTTTGAAGTTGGCCAAAATCACTGCTATTCCTGATGTGGCCCCCGGTTATCAAGTGCAGCTAGAAGAGAGGATGTCCGCTCAGTTCCCCACAGGGCGGGTGGGGGTGCTGACGCTGTGTTGTATGTTGTGTTCACTGTTGTTAAATGCAAGTGTTGCTGTTTATTTTTGCCTTTCGGCTCTGGTTTGGTTTGGCCGATGTTCCAGTGCATGTGGTGCCTGATGATGGGATAGAAATCGTTTTGCCCAGCTTTCATAAGTCACCTGACGGTTACCTTCAGGTTTGCTGGGTGATATATTCTTGAAAGCCACAAACGTAACTTCTCTGGATGAATTGTTTTTCTCATATATGCAGCAACATAATTTTACATTGATCTGTGGGGTAATTTAAATATTTTTTTGCAAGGCAGTTTTTCAGTCATATTATATATTTGATACAATACGTGAAGGGTGGACATGTGGTTGGGACACCGGACTGTCCCTAGGAGGCCTATGGGGCTAGGACGGCCTCTCTGCCCCACGTCGTGGAAGCACTTGGCTTGTTTTTAGAATCCATTAGGAGCTGGGCAGTTCTTCAGTGGGACTTTGAGCTGTTGGACAGTTAAAAGGATTTGCATGGGCATTTTTCTACACACTAAGGCAGTTTTCCATTAGGAGGAACTTTGGAAGTTGACATACTCCAAACAGTAGACAATCCCAGTGGCCCTGGCAAGCCATAGACATTTCCCTGTGACCTCTCTTTGACTAATCTCTCACGCTCATGAGAAAAGGAATGTACAATAGAGAAACTTCCTCAGTGTTCGTACGCCTCACTTTCAGAATGCAAATGTCTTATTTATATTTTCAGTCCTTCCCCAAAGTAACCGAGACTATTCTCTAGATGCCGTGCTAGCTGCCTCGGCTGCTGTGACATTTGTTAGTGTAGGCACTGTGCACGTGTGACCTTGTCATGGGGCTGTCTGCGTTACACACATACGCTGACTCTTTTTTGTAAGGAAAATTTTCAACTCAAAATAATTGCACTGATTTTGACAACTCCTTTTGTAATTATGTCCAACCTTGCATCTGCTGTACTTGTCTGAAAGGGTTGTAAATAGATTAGGGTAGCAGAAGTGACAGGAATCCCACGTTGCTTTGTTTCCGTGACACTGCCACGTTTTCCAGTATTATGTGCTAGAGCTGTGGACGATTCTGTTCTTTCACCTGTGCCTGTTGACCGTTCATGAAGGACAAATTTGCCTCTCTTCTCGTTTTTCTAAAAGGCAGTTTGCAGTCTGTTGAAAGGAGAGTGTGATCTCTCCTGAGGTCTGAAGGTTTAATTTTAAGAGGATTAATTGCAAATCCTTTGGTCGCTTTCGTGGTTTAATTCCTTGCTATTTGCCATGACTCCTGAAAGCATTTTCCCCTGGTTCTGTTCAGCATTTGGCCGTGTGGCTAGCAAGCATTTGTGTGGCCCATGTTCAGTGAGAATGGCGGCCTCCCGGTTTCTCCGGTCAGTCGTCATTTTGAAGCCATGTGGTCACTGTTGTGTCAAACCGCCATAGATGTAGAGACCCACAATCCAGCGCTCTTTCTTTACGCCTGTGGCTTTTGCCAGGTTAGTCGTGTTTGCTCCAACCCCCTGTGTGTGATTCTGTTTGTGGTCAGGCCGCCCACTGTCAGGCACACAAAGGAGTCTTCAACCCAGTCACTGGGCGCACGCAAATCACGTCGATGCCCTGACGGGGCCCTCCCTTTATGCTTTTCTGGATGTGTTTTGCCATGTTACTGTCTACAGTGAATGTATTGGCTCAGCCAAATCGCTACAGAAAGTGGTTTATAAATACCTTTTAGTTTAAAAAAAAGGAAATCGGATAAAGGCTACCTCTGAATTCTCAGTAGATTCAAGTTTGCTCTTAAGCGTAGCTGTCCACACTGAACTAGCCAAAATATCGCCCAAATAAACTGAACTGTGAACATCTCTGTTCAGTGCTGGCTTGAAAATGTGTGTGCCACACTGTGACCCCTCGGCCTCCCGGCTCCGCGGCCTGGGATTCTGAGTGGCCAGCGGGAATGGACCGGGCTGGCAGGAGCGTCTCCGTGTGCCGGGGGCTTCTCACGTCCTGTTTTGTAAAAGAAATCACTTTCTCTTATTCTTGACTCACAAATGGGCTGGAAATTGCTTCTGTGAACTCACCAAGGGCTTGGACACTGACTCCCGAAAATTATACAATTAAAACAGCCTCGCAGATTGAACAGTGCTGGCATGACTGACCTTTGACCCTGAATCTTGTGTTCCCATCACTCCCTACTTAACACAGACCTGAGGTTTGCAAGCAGAACGTTCTGTTCAAATCGCAGGCCCTGTGTTTGAATGGAACAAAGGGTCCACGGTGGCCACAGAAGTAGGACTTCCCACGCCTGGGCGTTGCAGGAAGCCGGTCCTGGGTGTCGGTCTGGACTCTGAGTGCCCCTTTGTGATTAGGCCCTTTGCTGTCAGACTTGTTCCTGCCCACACGCTGCTGTGGGTCAGCCGCCCCCTCCTCCTCCGAGTCCTTCCTTTGGGCTCCTCATGTTCTCTTGTCCTCAGAAGGTGAACGTTTGCTCCAAAAGGCCTACCTTGGTCTGCTCTTAAGTTCTGGAGGGACAAGTGTCTGGGTGTGTGGAGGGTTCTGCTCTCCTACTGGACGTGCTGACTTTGGACCAGAGAGGCTCAAGTGCGTCCTGACATGGACGTGATTGTCCTTAACCCTGCTGTTTTTGGGTCACGATGCTTTTCATGCTCCATGGTCTCCTTTAACTCTGAAAGAGCTAAGTGTCCTTTGGTCTTTCTCAAAACAATTGCACCATCCACCCGAGAAGCGTAGGTGTTCAGGGCGGGTGCCCATGTGTCTGCTGAGCTCCAGGGGGCCTCATTTTCAGCCAGGATCCCACACGGGCTGCACAGTGGCCCCTGCTCAGTCGGTCATGGGGACGGACCAACTCGTATCCATCCCTCAGCCCAGAATCAGAGGTGGCCCCTACCACGTTTGTGTTCCTGAAAGATGGTTAAAAATGAGAGATCTGAGATCACTGGTGCTTTTGTTAACACTTTTCTCTCTCATTGATGTGAAACATTTTAGACGTGTGAGATCCTTAAATGCTCTGGGATGGTCTGACCAAAGGGTTGAGTCCCCATCTCACCCCACCCCTTTCTGGGGGAGGGGGAGTAGGAGGCTGAATCGGCTCCTGTTTCCACCCCCCTTGGATTTAAGCAGTGCAGAGTTAAAGCTGAAACACCAAATACACACACACACGCACGCTCGCGTGCGACTCCAGGAACTAGATATTGAGGCCAGCCTGACGCAGCTCCTTCTGGGTCTTTAAGGTCCTTCACCCTGCGAGTTAACCCCAAGAACAGCCCGCACCACCGGGCCAAGGGGTGCAATGCTTGGCCTGTGGGGGGGACCTGAGGCTCCTTGGAACTCTGGAGGTTGTGGAAACAACCCTGGGGGTGTCCCTGTCAGGACCAGACAGCGTGTTCTGGCAGACTCTGCCTCAGCCCCAGCCCCTGTGCCTTCAAAGTCTTGTCCTCAGTGTCCTCTCAGAACCACGTTGGGGCTGCATTTTCATTGGAAAGTAAGCCTGCACCATCCCCAAGTCAGTCATCCACCTTCTGCCTTCGACACCACTTCTCAGCTCCTGACTACAAACTGTGATGCCCGTGTGTGCCGTCTTGTGTCAGAAAACGTGTCAGTCGCGTGGTTTCTCCTGAGTCCTGGCCAAGGCCACACCTGCAGGGACTCTAGGAGGACCAATCCCTTAGTCAGGCACTGACTGTGACTGTAAGCAGGACCTGGTAGTTTTGTTCAGTCGCTCAGAGAGTATTTAGTGTAGTGGAACTAGATTTTCTCAAAGGAATTGGATCGGGTCTTTGTGGTGTGTGTGGCATCCTCAGCTGTCCGGTGCTATCCAGCCTGCTGTCCTTTCCCTGGAAGGCTTTCATTCGTGTTGCTCTTCTGTGACGTTTGGGGAACTGCTTGCTTGGGTGTGGGTGCCACCTCGCACCATGCACACAGGGCTCCAGTTTTGACATGTCTAAAATGCCATGTGTAGCTCTCGCTTTTTCTGGCTGTGTAGTGAGCACTTTTCTTGGCTGATGGTGTAATTAAAAACCACCGTTCTGTGTGAAGGGATGATGTTATTGGTCTTAAGTGGGGGAGATAACCAATGTTATTTGTTTTACAAATGTATAGAAAGGCCTTCCTGATGGCTTCTCCTGGCCCGCCCCTCGCCAGACCCCAACCCTCCGTTCTGAGCGCACTAGCCCTCCCTCGGTGAGGCCTGGCTGCAGGGGGACAACACATTCGAAGCTTGGGTCCCTCTTCAACGCCAAATACGCACCTAACTAAAATCCTGAAAGTACATAGTTTAGCACTAAGTTGAAATTTGAGTCCTGAGTTTGGTAGTGGATTTTAATGTAGTTGTTGAAGGTGTGAACTCATGTTTTATAACTGTAGAGGCAAGTGAGTTTTTACTTTTTAAGAAGTTTTAAGAGAATAATTGTTAAGTTTCTGTGCAGCAAAGTGGCTAATTACTCATTAAATACACGGAAAGAATGTAGTGTCTACATCCAGGATTTCTTACCTCTGGTTCACTTCAGATCACTTACCAATATGTACTGAGGGGTCTGAACCCTGAGTTTTATCAACTTTTCTAGTTTTATTTTATTTTTATAAAATAATTGAAAAAGAACCAAAAATGAATTCAAAAGGTCCCTAGGTAGATCTTCCCCTTCTTAATTTCCCCCCCAATAAAACATTTTAGAAGACATTTTGAATCAAAATGTATTATGACCATTTAAAGTTTACTGCTTTCTAAGAAGCGGAGCAGCTGCCGGGGCCTGGCCTCGGGCGGCACTCGCGCCGGGCTCGCTCCCCGGGGTCCGCGTGACCGTGTCCTGTGCTTGCGGTAGAAACCGTGCGGTGTGCTGTTTTGTAAATCCACAGTTCCTGTGTCAACTAGTATTTATATCTGTTGGCCTTTCTATATAACTTTTCATTTGCTACATGAATTGTAAACTTAATTATAAAATTACAGTCCCTGCTAAATACACTTCGAGGCTTCATGTCCGTGTCTTCAGTTCACTGCCATCCTGTGTGTCTGGAGGGCGTCCAGCGCTTGCTCGATGCTGGGTGGTGATGCCACTTTAAATTAAGCCTTAATCAGATGTTCAATTTGTAAGTTTCAGAGTATGCAAACCTATTAAGCGGAGTGAGTTTAAACTGTCCCGATCAAGATGTTGTGTCATAAATCGACAAGTCCTTCCTCCGGAGTTGCAAAGGGAGACCTGCAGTGCCGCACGCCGCCCCACCTCTCCCTCCCCCTGCTCCCGCGGTGGCCATTGCTTGATGAAGACGGTCGGGTCAGTCAGTCAAGAGAGACCTGTTCTGAAAGTCTTGAGACTTTTCCAGGGTTATTTTTAAATGTTTGACTTTTTTCCCTCCAATCTGAGATTTATTTATGGCTGATGGAGAGAATGATTTGGGCATAAATCTTCTTTGCAAACCTGCTCATGTTCTAAGCTTTCTTCAGATAGTGCCACCTGCCATTGCTTCTGCATATGACTAAATGGATTTTTGTTTTTGTAAAAGCATCTTAAATTTACACATAAAATGGAGGGGACCCAGCTTTCTCTACAATGTGGATCTACCTCAGTTAAACAGTTGGGTGCTATTTACTAAGGCTGTCAAATTAAATTGGAAAAAGTAACCAAACAGTGAGCTATAACCACATGAAGCTTGAAATCATAATTTCCGTTTATTTAATAATATTTTTATTTATTTTGTGCCTTTTGTGTTGAATCCTAATGCATTGGGGGAAAAAAAAACCAGTATGGAATTAAATATTTTATATTGCAGGTGGGGAGAAAAGCCCGATTGGCCTTGGCATTTGATAGATTCCCCCAGCCAACCACTAACATATTGGAATCCCAACTGCCTTCTTGTGAAAGGGAAAAAAATTATGTCCAAGAGAAAATTTAACATTTTACAAACAAATTCCAGACTCTTCTATGCACATATTTATAGCTATCACTTCATTTTCTGTGCCAGTGAAGGGGCAGCCAAAAACAACTCACGTGTCCTCTTGTCATTGCTTTTTCGCCGTTCGGGCCCCTTCTTCCTCTGGCATGTAAGTTTATTTCATAAGCAGCAAATGGACTGTTGTCAGTTTCATCTCTCCTGACCTGCTAGAGGTGGTCATGACCATGGTCAGAAGAAGGGGTGCTAGCAGGGCTGGCCGGGGAGGGAAGGCCTGCATCAGCAGCGGCCCAGGGTTTCCGTAAGTCAGTAAAGCTTTCTGGCAGGTGAGAAATCAGAGGTGATGGACAACTTTCCGTGCTTTTATATTTGGCAGTTTACAATTCTAAACTTTTCCTACTCTGGTGATCTTTTTTAACTTAATCCTTTTGAGGTAACACAGTATTTTAGAGTCTTAAGAATTTGATTTTATACCATAAGAAATAAAGATTTGGGATCTTTCCTGTAGTATATAGTTTTACTATTTTAAAGAGATCTCTGAATTTTACAAGAGAGCCAACATTCCTTAGTGACAAAACTTTGAAAGTTGATTTGGGAGGGTTTCTGCTGCAGGATCTTAAAAACAATGGGATGATTCTGGTTAAATGTCCTTCATTTTAAACTCCCATCAGGCCAGTCCTTGGGCTGTGTTTATGAGTGAGTCACCCTTGAGCATGCTGCATATAAGGATGGGACTTGTTGCACTTTCTCAATAATAATAAATGCCCTATGATTGGCTCACCAGGAAGCATTTTGTTTTTTACCTAACAGGAGTACTTTGGGGCAGGTGATTAAATTTATATAGGTACCTCAAGAAAAAGAACCTGAATATGCTGCATTTTGTTCCTTTAGCTTTTCTATGTAGCATCTTGTTTTGCTCTTATTATTTTGTTTAGACATATGCTTTTTGGACCCCAATAGACTGTTGAAAGAAATTTTAAAATTGCCCTTGTTAGGGATTCAGTGTCCTTTTTTTCTTTTTTAACTTCACTATCTGGTTCCAAGGTTGCCCACCAGTAGAATAACACTTTACCCAACACACCTGAGAAGAAGGATACCGTGCGCACCAGCGACAAGAATGTTCCCAGTCCTTTCCGTTCATGCTGCTTTCTTGACTCTGTTCTCCATGCCATCAGGGGGTAACTCGTTTCTAAGGTCAGATTAAACATCATGGCATCTTACACATCTTCAACACAGACCTCACACAGTTGCCATTGAGTAAGTAGCATGACCCTAAAGGAGTTGCTGGCCTTAGGCAGCGGATGAGTCTGGTCTCTCTGGAGAGCCAGCCAGTCTTCACACATCTCCGTTCCCCAGCACGCACCCTAAACGGGACAGGTGGGGAGTGGTCTTAATGGACAAAAGATAAACTGGTGAAGAAAGCTAAAGGCTGAGACACTGAGCATCTATTGTCGTGTTTAAGCTTAGCTGGGTCCTTTCGAGTTTGTTTTACAGCTTACTAGGTTAAGTAGTTTGCACTATTTTTGCAATAAATTCATGGAAATCCTAACAGTTATTTGTTTTGTTTCTTACTGTGTGTATATAAACTAATACTAAAAGTTTGGCATAGTGTTTTTTCACCTCCTTACATAACCCTTAACATGCACAGAATGCTGTAAATCCGATAAAATATGATGTGAATGATATTTTATAAAGTTATTTTGTATGGTGTCAATTTTGTTTTGCCTCATAGTATGTCAGCAAAAAATAAAATAAAATTCCTCGTATTTACAGCTGCCTCTCCCAAAGGTCTTGAATTACTGTTGTTTGGGTACTTCCTTCTGCGCAGGTTGAGTTCCAGGCTCCTGAGGCGGGCGCGCTGCCTGCGATAGGAGCCCAGGCCTTACTCTACACGCAGTGTACTCAACAGACTGGGCACTGCCTCTGAGAAGCTGGGGTTTGGGGATGAAAACCACAGGAATGGATTGGACTGGATGTCAGGACAGATGACTCTAGGATGCGCTGGGTGCTGCTACTTCGGCAGCCGTGAGAAAGGATAAAGTAAAAAACCATTCGGGGGACGGGCAGGGTGGAGGGAATCAATGGAGAAATAAAGGGGGGAGAGCTGTAATACTTTTAACAATAAAGATAAATTTTTATTTAAAACATTCTGCTGAGCCCCAGTCAAGTGCAAAACCTTGAGCTCCATGTTGTGTGGGAATCAGACCTGACCGTATATAGGGTTTGAGGCCTGGGGGGGTCACTTAGCCCCCCTGCCTGGCTGTGGTTACTGGTCCTGGTGCCGCTCTAAAACCCTGGGCCCTCACTGGGCTGTTTTTGACTTCAGTCTGCTCTAAAAATAAGAGTGGTGCTGGGAAAGGAAAGGAGGGTTGAATTAAGAAAAGCAAAAAAGGGGCCCAGCTGGCTTGGCTCGGTAGTTGACCATTGACCCATGAACCAGGAGGTCACAGTTCGATTCCTGGTCAGGGCACATGTCCAGGTTTCAGGCTCGATCCCCAGTAGGGGGCGCGCAGGAGGCAAGCTGATGGATAATTCTCTCATCCATGTTTCTCTCACTCTCCCTTTCTCTCTGAAATTAATAAAAACTTTTTTAATGAAAAAAATGACTGAAAATACTAGAATGTACAGTGTTAATAAAGCAGGCCAAGTTTTCATTCTCTGTGCATAAATGTTCATAGGACTGTATCTGTAATAGTCAAAAGTGGGAACAACCCACATTGGGAATTATCCGTTCACCTGGGGGCCGGATAAACAACTGGCATGTCCATGCAATGGAGTCTTAGCAATAAAAAGGGACTGCTGACGCCTGCAACGACGTCACTCTCATGCATTTCGCTGACCATAAAAGCCAGCCTCTAAGGCTATGTACTGTGTGATTCCATACTGTGGGAAGACAGGCCAGAAAACCATGGTCTGTGGGCATACTGTTTGTATCACCTATAAGATAATGGTTTTTACATTCTTAAATTGTTAAAAAAAAATTTTAATTTCAGACCCATGAAAACTATACAAAATTCAAATTTCAGTGTCCAGAAATGGTTTTCTTGAAATACAGCCATGCTCATTCCTTAGGTACTACCTCTGGCTGCTTTCGTACAGCGGCAAGGTTGAGTAGTTGAGACAGAGACTATATAGCCCACAAAACAAAGTATTTTCCATATGGCCTGTTTCAGAAAGTGCTGACGCCTGCTATAGGAGCCAAGAATAGCTCAGTGGTTGCCAAGGTAAAGGGAAGGAATGAGTTGGACCCTGAGGAAATTTGGGGGGAGGTGATAAAGCTGTTCTTTTTTTTATTAATATTGACTTGAGAGAGAAGCATGGATTTGTCGTCCCGTTTATTTACGCATTCATTGGTTGATTCTTTTTTGTGCCCTGACCCAGGATAGAACCCGCAACCTTGGCATATCGGGACAGTGTTCTAACCAACTAAGCTACCCAGCCAGGGATAATTGATTGGGGCTTCTTTGTTTTATCTTTATTGTTGAAAGTATTACAGCCCTGGCCAGTTTGGCTCAATGGTTGAGCATCGGCCCATGGACTAAAGAACCCCAGGTCCGATTCCGGCCAAGGGCAAGTACCTCAGTTGTAGGCTCGATCCCCACCCGTGGTTGGGGCGCATGCTGGAGGCAACCAATTGATGTGTCTCTCTCCCCCCCTCCACTTCCACTCTCTCTGAAAGGCAACGGAAAAAATACCCTTGGATGAGGGTTAAAAAACAAAAGTATTACAGATGTGGCTCCCCCGCCCCCCGCATTGGTCCCCTCCACCCCTTGTCCACTCCCCCCAGGCCTTCCCCACACTATTGTCTGTGTCCATGGGTCATGCACTTATGCATGTAAGTTCTTTGATCAATCTCTCCCCACCCACTCCCCCACCCCCACCTTCCCTCTGAGTTCCCTCGGTCTGCTCTGTGCTTCTATGTCTCTGGATCTTTTGTTCATCAGTTTATTTTGTTCATTAGATTCCACATTTGAGATCATGTGGTACTTGTCTTTCTGACTGGCTTATTTTGAGCAGCATAATACTCTCCAGGTCCCTACATACTGTTCCAAAGGGTGAGATCCTTCTTTTTTACAGCTCTGTAGTATTCCATGGTAAACCTGTTATCTTCATTGTGGTGGTTACATGACTGCATGTCAAAACTCACAACTGTACACCAAAAAATGGACTTTAAAATTTATTTTAAAAAATAAACTTTAAAAACGAGAGACAGAAAACATCAGTGGTTGCCTGGGAGTAGGAGAAGGGACTAACTCTAAGGGGGTACAGGGGAGTATTTGGGGTGATGGAACTGACTGCTTGCTTACACAACCAAAAGACTGAACATTAAGGATGATTTTACTGGATGTAAATAACTCAATTTTTAAAAAAGATTAAAAGGACAAGAGCCAAAAATTTACCCAATGTGAAAAAATACAGAACTTATGGTCTTCTCTTGTGGATAGTAAAAATAATTACTATAGGTGTAAAGAACAGAACAGTAAATGAGACAGATCTTCAATATACACAATGTTCTCAAATGTTTTTTAAGAAAAATATGCTATGCAGCGGTACTATTTCTTTTTGGATTTATGATTTGATTTGAAATTTTTCTCTGGAAATAAAAATGCTAGAAATGCTTATTTTTAAATTTCACAAAAGTCTCAGGTAATGTGAGGCATTAGAACAATAGAGGGTTCTAAAATTAGATGTATAGAGCATTTTACTGTAAAAATACATACAGCTTAATTTAAAAATTTTATGTCTTTACAGTTAAAAATGCAGTCGACAAAGTCAAATTTTCTTGAAATACAAAAATGCAAATGTAACATACTACATACAATGTAACAAAATGTAACAAACTACATATTGAGCTAAAACTGAATGTTGTTGTTTTTACATAACTGGTATTTAGAAACTCTTCAAACTCCACCTGTAAATAAAAAGTTAATAGGCAAAATTGTCTTTGGCTGTACAGGTAGCTCTTGCTTGGTGCCCTCCAACTACACTGTGGGCCTGACAACTTTCCTTTTGGCTGTTTATGGTGTAGGTGCATCAGGCGCTCCATCTCAGCCAGGAAAGAGTACTAGGTCTTCGAAGTCTCTGAAAAGTGAAGAGACTTAAGTCACACAGTGTTGAGCTAATCCAGGAGGGTCCTCACCAGGCTGACTTTGAAAGCATTTCGTTTTGGGTTTAGGATTCCGCTTCATCGTCACTTTCATCACTGTTGTCCTCCTCTTCGTCCCTCTTCTCCTTAAGCATTTTCAGATACTTACTAGCTAGTATCTTCTTTGGTAATATATCTTAAAAACATAAAGCTAACATTAGCAGTTGCTTACAGGAGACCACGAATACAGCCATGCAAGTTTCAAAACATACTTCGACCTCTAGAATAGGTTCCAAAACAAGACAAAATCAGACTACCATTCTGGGTGGTCTCCTGACAATGCTAAAGACCTGTTTCTATTTCACTGCGAATCATGTGCTGGTAAGCCTGTGAGCGACCCACCCAACTTACCTGAGACAGGCTGACTGGCCCCTGGGGTAGACTTAGCCCTTTTTAGCCAGGCCCACACAGCTTGTTCTACAACAATTAATTTCTGTTTCTGGGGCCAAGTAGACCAGCCCAGGGTTTTCCCTTCAGGGGCAAGGAGTCTGAGAGGGTGGGTCTGCCAGGCTCACCAGCCAGCGAAACACCCTTGTGGAGGTTTTTGTTGACCTAATTATCATTCTAGGTGAGCCACATTACAAACATACTCAACAGACAACACTGTGTCAAGTCATTGTTAACTTTGGGACCTAGAGAAAGCAGCAAAAGGTCTATTTCAGTGAAAGCAGGGGAGAAAAGCTGTCAATTACTAGGCATTTTTAACCAGAATATTTCAGAGACTACCTGCAAGAAACTGGAACGTTTCTGATTCCTCTGCAGTGTTTGATAAGTCATTGTAAGTAAGGGCTTTCTTTTCTTTTCCACTGCCGTGTCTGTAGGAATAGGTGGCTAGATACTGAACAAAGAGTTCCTAAAAACGAATGAAAAGGTAAAATGAAAGGTGTGCTTTGAAAACTTACCCTAGAACTTAAATTTTTAATTAAGTTTGGATGATCGCACATTATCTTGGTTTCTCAAATTACAGGAAATCACTGGGGAAAGGAGAAACACGAGGTCAGAAAGAAACCCAGAGTACCCAGCTGGTGGGGAAGCAAGCATTCAGGTTTTTAACTCAAGAAAAACATTTAAAACTAAACAATGAGTTACAAATGTTTAATGACCAAGTTACACAGTAAAAACGAAAGAAAAAAAGGAGCGCGAGACCATTCAGAAATTGCTGGCTCAGGGGCCTCCGTCCCAGGAGGTTCGACTATAAACAGCGCCGCACCGACCGGAAGCTCGGGCGGCCGCGTTTCCGGTCTCGCCCGCGCGTCTCCCCCGAGCAGCAGCCGCACGTCACTCCGCCGCGAGGCGGGGGCCGGGGCCTGCGGCGTGAGTCTCGGTTCCTGAGCACCTAGAGCGGAGCCGCCGGGAAACAGCCACCCCGCCGTCAGGGCTGCACGGGCGGTCCCCTCCCGGGCTCCGGGCGGGCGCGGCTCCCGCACAGCAGCAGAAGCCTGCGACTTCCGTCTCCCGCAGCTCTGGCCCAGCACGTGGGCTCGGTGCCGACCCAGGGGCTGGGCAGCGTCGTCTAAAGCGAAGGCCGCAGCGGAACCTCGCCCGCGTGGGACGGGAGGGTTCTGGCCGCGCACCACCGAGCGGCAGGGCTCAGGGCCCCGCAGCGCCTTCCGGCCGGAACGAGCCGCCAGCGCGTCGGGAGGCGGGGCGGGCCCACGGCACCGCGCCTCCCGAGAAAGCCCTCGAGCTTCGCGCGGCAGCGCTCCGCCTCTCTCCGGGCCGTTCGGGGAGG